CCCTCTCCCTTAGCAGCTGCTGAATGAAATACGTAATATCTCTACCTGCAATCGGGATGTGCTTGATACAGCTTCCAATTACATAACCTTCTGCCTAGGGGAGAACAGGAGGCAGAGGGCCGTGTTAGTGACGCAGCGAGGGGCGCCCCTGCCTCGCGGCACAAAGGAGCGAGCTGGCGGAACCCCCAGTCTGTGCAAGCCTCACAATTCTGCATTCACAACCCACCACTGTGACCCGATCCCTCCATAAGCAACCAGAATGATGCTTTCATCGGGAATGGGAAGAGAAAAAACACATGGTTCATTTCCAAAAAATCATGCTGTGTGTCAGAACAGTGAATCCAATCACTTCGCTGTTGTTGTTCCTCACCAGAAAAAAAGTTAAATGGGTAAATTGTTAAACCAACGATAAATCTACTTATATTTAAAAATCAAGAATTTGGGTAAGTTTGCAGGAATTTGGTTCCAGCCTGGATTCAAACCCCAGGTCCACACTTGTCAGCTGAGTGGCCATAGACAAGTCTGCTCCCACGATTCAGCCCGGTCCCTTCACCCGCAAACGGGGCAGTCATACCCCGAGGGGCTCACAAAACAGAGTTAATGAAATACAGTGACCAGCGCTTCACAGCACTTTGGGCATTTACTAAGTGCGCCATAAGCGTTCCCACTTGTACTAAGGGCTGTACTCATTAGGGATAATGCTGAGAAGTTAACCGACACAGGCTGCCATCTGAGACAGTGTCCGTCAGGAGCTCAGACCCGCTCGCTCCGCTGCCTTCAAGGGCCAGTGAAGCCTGGTCTGCCGGAAGCAGGAAAGGGGCTGCAGCCCACCACCAGCAGAGCCAGCCCGCAGCTCAGCCCAACGCCCTCCTGTGGGCCTGGCTTCCCCAGGCCTGAGCACACTCCAGCTTGCTCTATGGGGACGGACAGTTAGGCTGGATATCTCCCCATCAGTTTCATCAGGTGAAGGAGGGACAGCCCAGCTGCCCCACGACAGCACCGGCTTCTGTGCCAGATGCCCACGCGACATGGAGGGAGAGGAGCGGAGCTGCTGCTTTCATCTTACAGGTGGGTTAGTTCGAATGGTTATAACTAGCTGTAGTCACCAGGTAAGGTTCAAGGACAAGTTACTGCATCCCTCTTACGTTTCTTTCTGATGCACCTGACTTCTAGAAGTAAGAGAAGGGTTGGCCTTTTCAGAGTCCAAATTATTTGTAAAAAATACTTTAATATGGAGATAAAAGATACGCACAAATTATTAAAACAGTAAAGATCAACTTAAAGTCATAAGAATATTAGTTCTCTAACACAAGCTATTCACAATTATTATACTCGTATCACGTTTAACATTTTTTAAAACCAATTCAACCAGTATATACAAAGTTGGGGGGGGTGGGGATCCTTCACTCTGGCCCAGGCCTCCAGGTCCCTGTGCAAAAGGCCCGCTGCCAGGGGCACAGGATGGGCATGGGCGGGGTCTGGCTTTTTTCTCCCTGACT